CATAGACGCATTATATAAACATTGTATATATAAGTACCTAGATCTACATGTGTAGATATCGTGCATTCATCAATAAGTGGAAATCCCCAGCTTTGATGATTGATTTATTGCCTTTCAATACAATTTGTTGTTGTTTTGTTTTGACTCACAGTAGAATATTTTTCATTCTTAAAGTTCTTTAAGTTCCAGAGCTGTAGAATATTTTTTGCTGTGCCCATCTTGAGACACGAATTTAATTGCTTCGACAATTCGCATTCGCATTTGCTTTTCATTTTCATTTTCATTTTCATCTTCCTTGCTTTATTTTTTGTTTGCCTCTTGTAGCTCCTCTGCTTTCTTTTCACTCTGAATGGCTTTCAGCTTTCAGCAGTTCGTTGGTTGACGCTGTTGACGCCGATAGTCCTTTGCATATATACATTTCACAGCATCAATGACTCGTATACGCGTGCTTTGAGCGCAGCTGGGTATGCGATCTCTTCTCACTTCAGATTTATCGTATTCCTTATAGATTTGATTGCATCTATTTGATTACACGTATTTGTTTAGCAACTTTTCTTCTCTTGTTGCCGTTGTCTTTAAATCACTTTGGTTCGAGCATTTTATAGTCGTTCTCCTCGCCAGTTTACTCCCTTTACAAGTAACTCATTCAGTCGCTATGCTGCGTTCTGCTATACGCTTAACGGTCAATACCCTGGCTTTACAGAGTTATGGAATGTGGGTGGATTAGTTCAGGGTTTTCTTTCTATTTTTTTATTCGCTTAAATAACTAATTTGTATTTGAAATCTTTAATTTAATTATTTTTTTAAAATTAAATTTAAAAATTTGAAATTAATTTTTTTAATATTTTACATGTTGTAGTCATTTTGAAAAGAAAAAAAATATTTTAAAAATATTTAAGTTAATTTTAAATGTTTTCAAAAATATATCGAATTCGTTGTCAAAAAACACAAGCAATTTTAACTTGAGAAACTTAAAAGGGTTATCATATTTTATTAGAAAATTTTATTAAAGTCGGCATTTTCTTGATGTTCCTCTAGTTATTTAGATTTCAGTTCCAGCTTCCACAGCGTATCGGCTCGTCCATCATTAAGCTCCAATCCGTGCTCTCCTGTTGTCATCTATTCATATATATCTTTTTGAAAAGCAAGCTTAGAGCACTGGACACTCTCTTGAAGGGGTTGTGTTGGCCCTTATCAAACGCTGCTCTGGGCAGTCGCTTTTCCACCTTTTTTCATTTCTTGCCTTTTCTGTCGTCTCTTCATCTTTTGCGAGTTTTTCTATCTGCAGCCTCAATAAATCTACCATCGCATATCTTAGGGCTCGCTCGTGTTTTTACAGCATCAACAAAATAACTCAAAGTGTCATCCGAGCTCTTGAAGTCTATTGTTGCTCAGCCATTGTTATTGTTCAGCTTTTGTTAGTGGGGCAGGTCGGTTTGAGTGGGTGTGGATGGGGGTGGCGGCTGCTTTGCTTTACTTTGCTCTGCTCTGCTCTGTTCTGCTCTGCTCCCCTTCCGGGCAACAGTTTTGAAGCTATTTGCCCCGCAACTGTTTGCCATTGCTTATCCGTATACAAAACGTTAGCGCTTTGAGGCTCGGCAATCGTTAGGCGTAACACGTGTAACCTTTGTAACAATGCGAGTATTTGCCTTGCTTTCAGCAGAATTGTTGCGATTGGTCCTTACGCCTATCTGAACAACAGCCAACGCCAGCCCAAGCCCCAATTCCAATGCGTCGCCCGCCCCCACTCAAACCGGAAGCAACATTTTTATTAGGTGCGTCTTTCTGCTTCTTCTCCTTGTCGCTCGCTGCGACACGGCACCTAGTCTCGACGTTTGTAAATCACTATGCTAGTCAATGAGTGGGTGGTAAGGGGGGGGGAGGAGCATAGGGGTTGCAGCTACTCCAATGCACATACAAATATATATATATATATATATATATATATATATATATATATATATATATCTACCAACTTCTCTCCCTCTCTCTCTCTCTCTCTCTGTGTGTATTTTATTCATGACATTTTAGGCTTTGATAACAATCTAAGCAAAATGTACGACATTGTTGGGTTCTCCAACTTGAAGAGCCCCTGATGTGCTCTCTGTGTGAGTGCCACACTATATATATGTGTGCGTGTGCGTTGAGGTGTATGGCGCCCACGCAGCCCTCAATTCCCTTGGCACCTTTATGTATTTTGTATTTGATATTTCGCATCTTATGCCGACCCGCCCACTGCCCACTTCAACGGTTTTATTTTCCTGCCTTCGTATCTTTTTCTTTTTTTGAGTGCCCCGATGCCAATGCCAATGCATAGAAATTATTATATATTATAAATCATATGATGCCATCACATTATGCCCAGCCATACAATTTCCCATAATCGTCAAGGACCTCTGCCAGCTGCCATTGGCTCTGGGGAAATTTTTTGTTTTCTTTTTTAAGTCAAATCATTTGTGGCCTTGATTTTCGAGAGAGTTCGAGTAAGGAACGCGTGACACGAGGCAGCGTGACAGCCAAGCGATATATTTTACTTTAACTTTAAGAACGTCTTTAAGTTGGTATAGATGAAATGCTATATGGAGGAAATCATATTTTTTTATATTGAGAATCTGGGAATATATTAATAACGTATAGGATGAAGCTAATATATTTTTTTTCTCGTTTTTCTTGTTCTTAACACCTCCACCCTTGAAGTCTTTGATCGATGGAAATAGCTATATGATATATGAGACATGAGATCTCTAAGATTGGTGCTTCTCCTTCTATTTTCCTAAGAATTTGATTTAAATTTGATTCGAAGTTTGATAGCAGATGATCTGATAGAGATTTTTAAAATGCATTCATATTTTGTATGTTTAAAACTTGCAGATCCTAACTATACTAACTAAGAATAAAAAAGGAATTGTTAGCTAGACTTTACTTGAGTTAGGAGCTCTATTATGTATAAGAGAGTTATTCATTTACATATAAGAAACATATAAGGGAAGTATGCTGTGAGCCTTGTCTCAGCTTATAATGAATTAAAGAAGCAAACTACTTTGGATATTCTTCTGAAATGTGCCTGAAATAAGAGCTATACTTTAAGGCATATTTATAAATATATATTATATTTATTATATATTTATGTTGACTCTTTGCACATCCCATTCCAACTCATACCTACAATTGCCTAATGAAAATTCTAATTGAATGTTTGAAATTTCTTCGAACTCTAGGCATAATATGAAATAAATGAAAATTTAATTATTTATAAAATACAATATAAGAGGCAAATGTAATATTCACGCAGATGCGTGCAGCAGCGGGGCACGCTGGGAGGCAAGTCACATTATGCACGCTGAATGCACACACTCGATGCTAATTATTGCTTGTATTGTATTGTTTGTTATTGATTGATTAAGGCAATTCCTGGTTGTTTACTCGCCATATACGAGTCGAATGCGAATGCGAATTCGAATTCGAATTCGATGTTTCATTTTTCACGTATCAATGAACCCACAGAAATTGGCCATAAAGTGATTCAGCCCAGGATGGAGCAATAAGAAATTCAAGTTGATTGGCATTATTCGCAATTGCTGATTCGGATTGTGTGTTTATTTAGACTTTAAGATAATAATTAAATGGTACGGTACTAGATTAACGGCAACGATCAGCAACTGTACATATATATATATATATAGACATTGATTGATCCATTTGCAATACTTTTGATAGCGTGCCTGCTGTTTTTTTTTCGTTTTTTTTTTTTTGTTTATAGCATTTGTTTATAACATAAACTTATTAACAAATATCACATAGATATTCTAGCTTAGCTGCTAACTTAATTCGTCTAACGTTTAACGAACGGATATTATTTTGTTGCATTTTTTTCGTATTTTTTTTCAAATATTTTTGTGAACCATTTCGAGTCTAGTTAACCCTTTTCTTTTTTTGTTTTGTTTTAAATATGTTTTGGCATTTTAGTTCGTGCATTATAATAATAAAACATTGGTGTGCTTAATACTATCCATCCAATTTGATGTACATATATACAACAAGTTTCTTCGTCTTAAAAACTTTTTACGTTTCATGTAATTTTCAGTTTTTTCTTAGTTGTTTTCGACTTTTTCTTCTTCTTCTAGTTATAGTAACTTTTGTTTGCGCGTAATTTCATAAGAATACTTTGCTTTTGCGTCTGCGTATGTCTGCGTGGAAGTGAAGGTGAAATTAAAATGAGATCTTTCAGATACCAAAACAAAAAAAGAATATGGTAAAAATAATATAATAATATTAAAAAAAAAAACATAAGATTTCTAGTTAAAAGTTTTTGCTTTCTTGAACAGTTGCGTCTGATTTGTTTTTTTCCTCTTTTCTTCTTCTTCTCATTCATATTTTCTTTCTCCTTCTCTTTCTAGAGTCAGCTCGCGTATACGTCCTCGGTCTGCGTCTGTGGCGGTTCTTTGTCGGGGTGGCGCGGGCTCTTGCGGGCTGGGCGGGGTCGTGGGCGTGGCGGGTTCTGGGCTTCGGGCGCGGGCTCGGGCCGGGCGCTGTCTCTTTCTCTTCTCTTGCGCGGGGCGGGCCGGCGCCTTCGCCCGGCGCTCGTCGCGGGCGCGGGCGCGGGCTCGGGCTCGGCGCGGGGCGCGGCTCTTTCGCGGCTCGGGCTCGCGCGGTCGCGGGCGCTGGCTCGGCGGCTGCGCGGGCGCGGGCCGGTCTGGCGGGGCGGGGCGCGGGCGGGTGGCATCCGGGCGCACTGCTCTCGCGGGCGAGAGTCTCCGGCGGAGGTCTCACTCTCACGCGCCGCCCAGGCGCAGGGCGCGGGCGGCAGGGCGGGAGCGGGCGCAGGGCGCGACGCGGGCGCGCGCGGAGAGGTGCGGCACGGCGCGTCTCGAGGAACCAGGGCGCATGTCTCTCTCATTCACTTTTTTATTTCTCTCTGTTTCTTTTTTCTCATTTATCTCTCTTTCTTATTTCCCACTTCTCTCTCTCCTTCCCATTTCTCATTTCTCTTTCAAATTCTCATATTTTTTCTCATTTCTCCCTCTTTCTTTCTGTTTCTCTTATATTCATTCTCCATCAACTTCTTCTAGACTCTGTCATCAAAGTTGGAGACGGGCCTGTAGGAACGCTGTTTGGCCAGCAGACGCCTTATGTAGATGAACATGGACAGAATGATGACGCAGAGCACAACAATTACAATGTGATAGATATTTTGGGGGAAGGTTTTCTGGTGTACGACCTGCACTACGCTGGGAAAGTCGTGCAGTTCGCAGGGCGCAGCTGAGGTGTTGGAGCTGGGAAAGTCGATCAGTTCGGCATTTTGTGTAGTGCTGGGGCGATTGGTGGTGCTGGTGGTGGTGGTTGTGCTGCTGATGACGATTTCATCTGCCAGCGGCACCACAGGCAGCTCAGTTTCTGTTTCAGTGTCAGTTTCAGCATCAGCATCAGCATCAGCATCTGCGTCTGGCTGGGTCTGCTCCTCGTGCTCGTAGCCATAGCCGTCGTCATCGTTGTTTGGCTTCTCGTGTGGCATGGGCGCACCTTTGGGCCAGCAGACGGGACAGCAGTAGTCCTTGATCATCACCTGACGTTCGCTGGGACAATTGACATTGGCACAGAGTGGTATCACGCACTTCTGTTCGCCCTTGACGCACTCGCACTGGTAGCAGCCATCCTTCCAGCTGTCGCCGTCCTTGAAGTACATGTTCAGGTTCTTTGATTCGCAGATGGCATTCTTGCCCTCGTCGCAGCTCTGCTGGCAAATGCGTGCCCCCGAATTGCAGAGACAGCGTTGGCAGCTCTGCAGCCAGTAATAGTTGGTGTTTCGCACGTCCGAACAGTTGGGCTCCGGCTTGCATTCGTACTTGCCGCAGCACTGGCCAGGCGTATTCATGTCCTCCGGCTGCAGCTCGACCACAACCTCGCCCTTCTCGCTGTTGCAGCCAGGTATGTTGTAGCACGTCTTGCACATACACTTCTTGGACAGGCAGCAGAGGGCGAACAGCTTGTCCGGCACCTGGCTGATGTTGTAGACACTGCGCTCCGTTGTTTCGATTGCCCCGCTGAGGCTGCCGGCGACCGCATTCGAGCTCAACAGATTCACGGCGCTTATCTCGCGCATCTCCCGCACAGCGCTGTCCTTCGGGCACTCCATGTCCGCATCAGCCGGACAATGTACGGGATCGCACAGCTGCGGTATTGGCCGCCAGTCCATCTCTGTAAAAATGTGTAAAACGTAAAATAAATATCGAGCGAACTTTTTATGAGCCGTTGACAAAATCACGTATTTTTTTCAAATAAATCGACGGATGGCATGACTGATGCAATAAATAAAAGCTGTTCACGTATTCCGAGAATGCGACTTAACGCGAAATATGCTTAAATCCTTAAACATTTTATGCTCGCATATGCGAACAGCTTTTTTTGATTAAATAGTGACTAAAGTGCTTTAAGCAACGATAGCTGATAGTGGCATATATAGTTATGTACAGGAGGTATTTTATATAGAAGCATATTCAAATATTAACCTCAACTATAAAGCGCATTATGAACTTCATTAATTGTTGTTGATAATTTCGCTATTAAAGGATTTTAGTAGCTGTCTTAACTACAAAATATATGCATAGAACTGTGCTCTAGTTTTTGTTTTTATACATATGTATATGTTTGATGGAGTTCAGATTGAAATCTATTGGGAATGGGCAGACAGGAAGACAGGCAAAAAAGGGTCTGACTGACTTCATTAGATTATTTTATTTAATATAAATAATAAATATTTAGCCTTAAGACAGAGCATAATTCTACTCATTCGCAGTCTAAACGCTGTTAGCTTCAGTTTAATACACGCTTCCCTAGGAGTAAGGGGGGCTGGAGAGGTCAAGGCGCGTAAATGTTGCATCTAGCATCAGTAGCGTCGATGTGATTTGCGCTCCTATGAACAGACGGACAGAGAAAGGAACAGCAACACAGACAAAACTAATATACTCTTTTTACTTCGTATAGGAGCATAAAAAAGCGAAGCAGAAACCTCTTTAATTTCTCATTGACTGATCGAGTGCAGAAGAACACTCAGCGCAGAACCTAGCTCGAGTTTGAGTGGGAGTTCGAGCTATATAAAGACAGGCCTGTTGCAGTCGCATTTCTGATCTTCTGGTGGTCAGTCGCTTGCGCTTCTTCTTTTTTCTGAATGTGATTCAAGTACTTAAATATTTAATCATTTCAAATATATTCTAAGCAGAATTATTTTATATTTAATTATAGTTTCAAGCAATTGTTTTATAATAAATGTTAATAAAAATTGTTTAATATTAATTGCATTAATATTTGAAGCCAGAGAGCGTTATGTTAGTGCTGATTATGTTAATCAGGAAAATCTTTATATTTGCCTCTAATCTCATTGCAGCTTTTTAGTGATTTAAGTAGAGCCACACTCTGTTAAAAAAAAATATATATATATATATATATAAGAGAGTTTATTTTTAAATTATTATAAATAGTTTGAAGAGAAACACACATTATATAAAACATAAAAAAAAAAACAAAAAGAAACTTCTAAATGCAGAACATTAGCTCTAAGCCTAAACTACAATTGGATTTTTAGCTTCCTGCTAATTAATTTCTATTTGCTTAACCAATTACTATATATATTACTATGCATAAAGTTGAGCAATGTCTTTTCTTTACTAAGAACTCAACTCTTATATTTAAAGTCCTATTTTTCTGACTGTTGACTTTAGCCCAATTTAAGTTCAATCACCAGAAGTGACTTAAATAATAAATTTAGGCACGCGTTAAATGATAATGTATACGGCGCTCTTGACATCCCTTTTTCATGTTATCAATTTTTACACTAGACTGCAAATTCAATGTGCATATATAATTATAAGTTAACAAGAAATTCGCAGCTTTCTTCGTGTCGCCTTATCTCTAATTGAATCGACAACGTCTGTGGCGACTTTCCGTCTCTTTCGCTCTCACTGTGCCTGTCTCTGTGTGTGTATGTTGGTTGGCTGGTTGCTTATGTACCCGTTGGCAACCTTTCACTAAAGTCTCGCGTTTACCTTTACACTCAGCCGCACTTTTGTTTGCCAATTGGGTTTGGCAGCTGCGAAACTTTGCGGCTTCCTTTGAGCTCAAGTTAATTTGTCATTTTCACTCGCCCATATAATGCGAATTCCATTTTACTTTTCACTTTTTGCTGCTGTTCTTTAATTTTGGTTTTTTGTAGTTGTTGTTGTCGATTTTGTTCTTTGTTTCCTGCAAGTTTTCCCCGAAAAAACAATGAACTTTGCCCTTTAGCCAATTCAAAAGTAAATATCTTATATAAAAATCGACTTGATTTGCGCGCAAGTTGAAAGCTTCACAAAGCTTGCGCAAATTAGGAGCTACAGTCCTCGTATAGCCACCCAGCCCTGCCCCTATTCGTTTGATGTCATGCAGTCGCGTCTCTGAAGTGCTCAGCTCCCCCGCTCTGAGTGGCCTTCAACAACTTTCTTACACTTTATTTAATTAAAGATTTTTTTCTCTTAATTTCTTTCTTCTTCTGCATTTTTTTGTTAACTTTTTAGATTTTGTCGGTTTGCTGTCGTCGGGTCTTATCAGCGGGTCGAGCTTAGACAGTTGGGACACTTGTTCACCGCTCTCACATTTTGTATTGAGTGCGCGATTTGACTTTGAAGTGAAGCGAACCAGCCAAGGGTGAGGCAGCTGGACGGGAAGTAGCACTTTGGTTATAGAAGTTTTTGTTTGCTGCACATACATATATACATGGATAGTTTGGCATAGTTTTGGTGTATGGCATGCTAGACTAAAAGATGCCCAATTTAATTTGAGATTCAAGCTCATCACATTTCTATTGCATTATTTGAATTTTGTAGGGAATTTGTCGGAAGTATTGAGTGAAAAGCTCTAAAATTCTATATTATAAAATTATAATTAGTACTATATCAAATTATTTATAAATAATTATATAAGAAACTATGTTTTATGATCTAATATAAGATAAGTTTTCTTTCTGTACATAGAAAAAAATCGATATCTAGTCTGAATTAATTTTTATATAGCTATTATTCTATTGGAAAGTGGGTATATTGGCTTCCATTTGGATAGTTTCTGCTAATATTCATTATTTAAAGATCAGAAAAGCGAATTCTTAAATATGCAGCAATTGTTCAGGGTATTTTATAGTCGTTTACTGCCGACTAGATATATAAATATATATATATCAGATATAAAATAGTAATTTATATAGATATATTTTTATATATATAGACCGAGTCCATCACATCACTTTTCAAACAGTGTTCATTTTTACAGGGTATTTGAAGCAGACCATATTGCACACAAAACACAATTTCAATGGCGCTGCTAAGCGAAAGAGCGGAAAATGTGAATGAATTAGCAGTCAGAGTGTGAGTGTGCAATGCCAAACAACTGTCAGACTAACTAGTCAGCCAGTCAAACAGTCGAAGAGCTGCCCAGGAGCAGGCGAGGCCAGAGCAAGCGAGGCGAAGCCAAGCCAGGCCAGGCCAATCCAAGTCGAGACAGGACTCAGCTCCGTCATATAACCAAGATAAAAACCGCACACTCCACGAGCAGAGAGAGAGAGAGAGAGGGTGGAAGGGAGAAGGGCAAGGAAAGCAAGTGAGGGCAATAACAGGACAAAGCACACAGAAAGTTGCTGCAACATGGACATATTTTTTTTGTTTCTTTTTTTTCAACATTTTTTTAAACAATTTTTTGCTTTCATTTTTCCTTTTTTTTTGTTTTTGTTCCCTCTGCAAAAACTTATAAACAGCGTGGAAAGTTTACCATAAAGGCTAAAGTACATATACAACTCGAGTGTTTTGCATTTTATGTTGCATGAAAAAGAAAAAGGGGGGAAAACTCTTTAAAGCGAAAACTTTTTTAATAACACAACGACAAACGCAGTGAGGACGACAACGTTTTGTAGTTTTGTTAAGGGGCACATTTTTCACCCACAAAAGTCACTTGTGCCCCCGGACCGAAGTCGAACCGAACTCTGGGAGAAATTTAAATTGTTAGTTTATCTCTTGACACTGATTGGATTCGCGATTTAAAAATAAAAAAGAAATGAAAAAGCATGTCTTCGCAGACAGCTGAAAGCCTGGTAGCTTAATGCCCGGAATACCTGAGCAGTTCTGGATTGGCATGTAATCAGCAGAAAGTTGCGCCAAGCTCTGTCAGATTAGGCTAATCTAGATGACTGACGCCATCGCGAGTTCTCAAGAAATAACAGAATTTTGAAGTATTCACAAAGATAAGACTTTCGAAACTTACTGTGGCTACATTTGACTCTAAGATGTAAGACTAAGGCTAAAGAGCAGAAAAATTACTTTTTTAAATAGAGGAAATTACTTCATGCTGCTGAGTTCTTACAGAACTGAAGCTGATCTTGGCGAACTTTAAAGGTAAAAAGTTGGGAAAATGCTGTCATATGATAAAGTTCTTAAGGAGTTTGTGTATACTGCGAAGGCTCAGATCTTTAAGATTCTTAAAGCTTATAAAATTCCTCTCTTTCTTTATGCATAGTTGTCTCTCTCTTCGCTCACTCTCCTTAAATTAACATAAATATATATTTATGATATCTTTTATCTTCAATTATCGCAGTGCTTGAGCTGCTTTAACAATGTTTAGCCAAGGTTGCGCGTCTCACAACGAAAAAGGGTTAACTGACCTGATTTTGTACCCTTTTATATACACTCACAGAGGGCATTGTACGTTAGATAGAAAAAATGTAACAAAAGCATATTTATATTTCTATATATAAGATTACTTTGAATATATATATATATATTCCCACAGAGACAAGACCTGCCCTTAAACTGCGCCTGTTGCATAAACTTTCTTATTAAGTTACCCCAAAGAGCATTTAATATTCGAACTGTTTGAAGTTTGAGTTTTTTTGTTTCATATTCCATAGAATCCCTTTGTTTCAGGGCCGCCTTGTGGTCGTTGCGCTGTGCTGGCTCTGGCTCTGGCTGAGTGGAGGAAACGCCTTGGCTAAGTGGAATTCAATCAGGCTAATAGCCATGGCAAGATAATCGTGATTCAATTATGACAACGCATAACTTGGCAGCAGCAGCAGCAGCAGCAGCAGCTAGTTCGAGTGGACATTTAGTAGCTCGATTCATTTTGTGGCGTTTAGTAGTCATGTTGTTGCTGCAGCAGCTAACGAGTGGCACGTTGCGTGCTCTTCACCTGCTGAGCCAGCTCGTTGGCCTGACGGCCGCATCCTGGCAGATGCTCAGCGGGCGTGGGGGCGTGGCGCGTGGCAAGTGTAGCTGGTATTGGCGCCTGCATGGCTATCTGGTGTTGTTGTTTGTGCTTTGCTTCTCGCCAGTTGCCATGTGGATTGTGATCACAAGAATGGACTTTCTGCGCCAGAATCGCTTGCTGCTCATCGTTGGCTGTCATCGATATGCGCTGCTGCTGAGCTCTGCTGTGCTCACGCTCTACCGGCACACGAGCCGTCAGAGTCACCTTATCGCCTTGGCAAATAAGCTGCTTTGCTCTAGCCGGCAGCTGTTCAAATTGCTGCACACGTCCCCGTTGCGGAGCTCGGCCCACCAGCTGCACACGCGTGACCATTTGACGGTTTATGCCCTGGCCATCTCCATAGTCTGCTCCGGGAGCTATACTTTATTCTTACTACGCCGTGACGTGCAGGCCCAGCGCAGCTCCATGTATTTCTGGAGCCTGCTCTTCGTCTATGGCTGCCAGCTGTGTCTCCAGCTGAGCTTGGCACTCTATTTGTTGGCTCTGCTGCTAATTAGTCATTTGTCGCATCACTGCAATCTGCTGCTGGCCCAGCTGCTGGCAGATGCTGTGCACTGCCATGAGGCTTTGCTTACACACCTGCCTGGCCTGCCTGGCCGTCGACACTTGTTGGACTCGCAGCAGCATTGGCTGTCGTTGGAGCTGTGGCGTCTCTTGCGGCTGCATCGCCAGCTGCTGAGGCTCAGCCTGCGGCTCTGCTCGCTCCACAACGTGCAGTTGGTTGCATTTATGATTTTCGTCGCCGTTGAGAGCGTCATGCACACATTTTTCGCTTACTTTGTGATCTTTAGCAAGTGGTGGCTGCGCCACTTTCACAAGCCGGCACCATTGAACATCGATGTGATCGTATTCGTGGCAGCTGTCTGCGCGCAGCTCTCGTTGGTCATTGCCCACACGCATCGACACCAACAGATCTTTGTGGCAACGCGCTCCATATTCAGCGCGGGCGTGCAGGCGTTGCCTATCAACTGCAGCAAGGCTCTGACTCAAACGGTAGGTGGAACTCTAACTAAATGGAGATATTTTGCTAACTTTTCCAATTATAGAAATAATACAAATAATAGAAATATTTTTTATAAACAAAATACTTCTTTGTTTCATAGAGAAACTCTATGAGGAATAGAATGCAAATTGTTAAAAGCAAATTTATATTTATTATATATATTATATTTGTATATAAATCTTATTTTCCTTCCACTACTATTTTTATGAACAGTGCTGTATGTATATAGCGAAAATATACAAAACATTTAATGATCTAATTGCTTTAAATAGAGCATCTCTACTACATCATATACGCTTCATATTCAATTTCAGCTACATCTCTACGGCTTACAATTGCAGGTGAATGACCGCGTTTTCCACCTGTTGGCCTGCGGACTCTTCAAGCTGAACAATGGCCTCTTATTTGGCATAGTGCAAACAATTATAATGTATACAATAATACTCATACAATTTGATAAGATCATGAACAGATAGCTGCAATTAAAATGATGTTTGCACAGATCGCGACATATTTACTTATAGATATATACATATATATATGTGTATGTGGGCATAATTATAGCAAATATTTGGCAGACTTACGTGTCATTGCACTGATGACATTCAGTTTGTTCCCGGTGCAGATTAGCACGCTGATTGTTATTAACAGGTGCTCACACCTGGATTTGTGCAGCTTCAACATTTTCTATATGGATTTATGATGTGCTCGAGCTCTCTAGATATCCTATCCTCAATCAATTTAGCCTTGAAGCCACGCCGTATCGGAATCAACTATATGTATAGCTGTGTGTGTTTGCCTTTTATTGCAAAATCAAAACCAATTGAATTTCGTTGTATTTCATCTGAAAAGAAAGGAGAGGAAATAAAAAATTAATTGTCAAATACGAAAAAAATGTTTATGCCGTAGTTTTATTCACTTTAAATGGACAGCAAAGTGAACACACAAATATAATATAGTTGAAATACTGTACACTATGTGGGTCTTTCGGTTTGATTGGCTTGTTTAGTGAGGTAAATTCAATTTACAATTATGTAAGCTATAATATAATATATATGATATATACATATATATACAGAAATACTTTATAGAAAATATTAATCCAATTTCTTCATACAAAATCCAAAGTGTTTAAAATTATTTCCATTTCTTATATAATATACGTCTATATATTATTCTATATTTATTCTACATTTTATTCCATATTCATATTTTATTAATGTTAATAGGTTGTTTTTCCTCTAATTAGTATTTACTACTATTTTTATGAACAACCCAATATTATTAGTTTTTTTTCTCAAAATTCTCAAACATGTTCCAAAGTTTCTTACAAAAATCGTTTAATTTAATAAACAAATATGTTAATCTTAATATTCGTTTCAAACTGATTTAATAATACTACGTTTATCACTTAATTTAGTTTAGTGCTTTCATGAACGCAGCTGTCTAAATATTTTTTTTTTCTTGTTTTTATTTGCCAGCGTTAACATTGCTGAGATAGCAGTAGAAATTTGTTCTTGAGTTCTTGATCTTGGGTTTGGATACTTCCATTATAACAACTTTTTCAGAGTGGATTTTTTGAGTTAATCTTGAAAAAGTTCATTTGAATAATAAGTAATAAATATATTTTATATATATAATTAAGTGTATATAAGAAATTTGGTTTTTGAATTACACCTGAATCCCTTCTACATATATATGCTTTATATATGCACTTACGATATGATAGTTACGAGTGCATTATATCATATGATATATATACCTAAAGCTAAGCTCAAACTTTAATTTGAGCTAGATTACAACAAATAACAAAAGTATACAACATCTATTTATATATAGTATAGTCATGGCATAATCAAATGTCTGTCAGGCAGAGTATTTGTCGTTCGACCTGCTGCTGATAAGTGTTTGGTGCTGTTTTTATTTATTTTAATTTAATTGCAGTACAAAACAAGGCAGTAAACACACCGAGAAGCGTTACTAAGTCACAGGCGGACAGGCGGTCGAGCGGACGAGCGGTCCAGCAGACGAGGCTGTTGTATCACTGCTATAAATAGCAACCTTTTTTGGATTTGTGCGAATAGTTTTAATGACCGGAGGCAGCCCGAAAGCAAACCCAGCAACTGGGCAAACACACACACAGAGTTCACTCTCATGATACTGGCGTATCTCGTACGAGATGCCGCAAAAACAAAAAACTGAAAACTGAAAAGTGTTTTTGGGGGCCCCCAAGTGGCAGCAAAGGCAAGGCAGAAGCTGATAAACGTGCCACATGCGGCATGGGACGAGTCTCAGGTAGTGTCTCAGGTTGAGATTGCGGCACGCATTAATTTTGTTGCCTCTGCGGCATTTCATGTGGAACGAACGCCAGGACAGACCGTGGATATCTGCTTTTCATTCCGCATTCAATCAAATGCTAAAATGATTGAGATGCTTCTACATGCAAGTGATGATACTGAGAAGAAGAAGAAGAAGCGAGGGCGGCGATAGAGCAAGAGAAAATTCACTTTGAGCTCGATTAATGAAGAGGCCAGACCGCAGTGTATCTGCTATTCAAATGCTTTCAATCAAAGGCTGAAATGATTGAGCAGCAAACACTTGCAACTGTGTGGCTATTGGTGAGCCTGCTGACAGCTAAGAGATAAACTTTCCCTCGAGAGCCAACATTGTGGTTGAGTAAAGAGCATCGGTTACGAATGCTTTCATTCAAATGCTGAAAATGTGTGCAGCTCGATTGAAGTGAGGAAGGAATGATGGAGATGTTCTTTGTATAAAGAAAAAGTATTTGTATTCAAATGTTTCCAATCAAATGGTTAAACTAGAGGCCTTTATCAAAATTGATGTTGAGCCCTGACCACAGTGTGCTGCTTTCAAATAAAATGCTTTCAATCAAATGATTGAAGAAAAAACGTAACCAATTCCCCTAACTGAAACGCCTATCAAAGAGAGCAAACAAGTTTGAATTCATTTTAGATTTGAAAAGCAGAAAGGTAGTCAAACACGAGTGCTTTCAATCAAATGATTGAAGGACAAACACTGACAGCTGTTAAAATTGATGAATCCATTTGAAGGTGACAAAGCTATACTAGTCCACCTGCAGGCTACCTTAAAAGTGTAGCTGCAACTTTTGTTTGACATGAGCCTGAGAATGGGAAGCAGAACGAGACCGAGAACTGTGAATGAGAACTGTGAATGAGAACTGTGAATACAATTGAAAACTATCAATCATGCAGTTAATCGAATTGTTAATTAATCAACAACAACAATGACGATTGCACACTTCCGACTGAAATACGAGTCAAATGTTGCTGCCCATAGAAACGTATAATAAATTGTTTCGGTTCGGTTTGTGTGTCTGTGGCTTCCAGTTTCGAGTGTCTCCGAGTCGGGTGTCCATTCTGCACCGGTTGCATCAGCTCTAAATATTGGCGAAATTGATGACTCGATTCGATATTATGATTATGTCTAGAACTGCGAATGTGATTCATGACGGCTTCATTCAGTTTCTTTGTTTACTCCATTGAATTAAGTGCACGATGACGGGCGGTTCAATTTGCTAAGAATGTGCTCTATAAACAGCAGCGCTACGCAGGGTCATAATTCGATAAAAATATCCTCTTTCCAAATTCGAATATTCAATGAATTGTTTACGCTTTTTCCGCCAGACAATTTTCGTTAAAACATAAACAATTTAACGAACTCGGCTGAACCCAAATTTCTAAGAATTAAACAGTTTTAAGTAAGCTTCATCAAATAGATTTTCGTTTATAATATCAACTTATTTATTGTCAGTATTCTAGAAAATGGTTTGTTGTTAATTTAAATGGAAAAACTGAATTTAGGTGAAATAGGTTTTTAGAGAATTTTATTTCAGAGAATTCCATTCCTTAATTTTGTTTACCAAAATACTAAAAATTATATGGAAAAAGCGAATTTAGTTTTTTAAAAATATATTTTAGAATTTTTTGTTAACATTCTATGAATTTTTCAAAATTTTTGAAGCTTATATTTTCAAAATAATATATATAAAAAAAATTAGTTAAACATTAAAGGAACTGGGCTGAGCGTAAATCGTCATATTTATGTTTAAACAAACTTTTTTTGATTTATGAAACGTAGTAAAATTGCATAAACTTTTTTATGTATTTGAAGCAACACTGTCGTGAGAAGATATATTGGAAATGGCACATGAATGCCTAGAATTAAGAAAAGTTTTCCTTTCTTAAAGGAGTCAATTTTGATTTATTCAATTTGTTGGCTAAATTCAGCAAAACTTGCCTAAAATATTTGCAGCTAAATTTTCGACGGAAAATATAATGGGAAAACTTTCCATAATGTGGCGGAAATTGTAGACAAATTTTGTTATATGAGAGTTCAATTATGCGCTTAACTTGGCTTTCTCTTAACCCATCCGCGCTCTGTCTCTCTCTCTCTCTCTCGCCCTCTCTCTCTCTGTCTCTTTCACTCCACTGCGCAAACTTTAATACCAACTTTCTTATCTAATTCACCTTTTTCCATACTCTTTGTCTTTGGGTTTTACCTTTTTCATCCAACTATCTAATGTACACATATTTACTCATACTTATTTCCAGCTAATATTTCTGTTTGCACCAGGTGTACTTATGTACGATACGCGAAGCTGTAATCTGTCTTTTTCTGTGTGTGTTTCATTCTCGACCTCTCTTACTGTCCCTATCTCTATCTCTCTTTCTGGCTCCCTCTCTCTTTCGCTCTTCCAACATATTTGTGTAGATGACTAAAGTTTGATAGCACTTGAGCTCTACGTAGTACACTTCGTTTCGCTCTGAGGTCTTGAGCGCTATGTTGTCTGCTTAAAAATTAACAACAACAACAGGAACAGCTACAGCTACAGCTACAGCAACAGCAACTACAACAACAACGATCTATGAGCATAATGGAGCTTTGTAGCCGACAGCGATAAGTACTTGCGTCTGCTGTTTGTCCCGCTCGTTCCTGTCCCTCTCTCACTCTCTCTCTCTCTCTCTCTCTGTCGCTCTTTCGCTCTCTTCCCACCCTCTCCTAACAGCCTGCTTCAACACTTGGCGTCTCATAGTCAAGACTTTGGCAGCAATTTTTGTTCGTATTCATTTTTTGCTTTTTTTTGTATGTAAGTTTTTACCTCGAAAGCAAGATGAGCTTTATGATTGCCATAAATTTCACTTGAATGCGAAATCTGATGCATCTATTTCATGCCTTCGTTTTGCGCTTTTTAACTGTTGTTGTTGCCGTTCTTTTTTGTGCTTTTTTGTTGTTGTTGTTTTGTTTTGTTATTTATCTTGAGATGCTACACATGCAAAACAGCAGTAGCAGCAGCAGCAACGTCGAAGTTGACGGTCTTCGCTCTTATGCAAGTGTGTGTACGTATGTATGTGTCTACAGAAATGCTTATGCATATATGAGTGTATGTGTGTGTGTTTGCTGGCGTATTTACTCGTGTTCGCGTACAATAATTTCACGTTCAACAACTTTTGGCTTTTTTGATGAGCCAGCAGCAAAAGCAAAAGCAACAGCCACAGCAGCACTTGAAAGAGCAGGCGAGAGGGTGGCAGCTGCTGGGTAAGAGGGTGTATGTGTGTGTGTGCGCTGCTGCTGCTGCTGTGTCTCGACTGCTGTTGCCATAGCTACCGCAGCAAATTAAGTTCGTCATCTCTTTTGCACGCAGTGCAACCGGGCCAAAACATAGGCAGCGCTTTGGGCTCTGGGCTGGCCGGCTCATCGGTTATGCTCTAGACATTTTGCTTTAGCTTCGATCGCCCCTAAATACACTTGCACCGGGGCATAATTGCTTTCCTTTAAACTTTGCAGCAGCCCATGCGACTTATCTGATTGCTTATATCAATAAGATAGCAGCTTGGAATTTATGGCAGACCATGAATTGCCATAGATAAAGATATAATACCTTAATACCAGTAGCTCAGTGGCACTCTGTAAATATAAGTCTGATGTCACTTAAAGGTGAACACAGGACAATATTTTTTATATTGTACAGTAAGCTAATTACCCCCACACACACAGACACACACTTAACATACTTGTGTAAATTTGTATAATAAGATATGAAGAGACCTTTGTTTATGTTATCTTACACTTTTGCCGGAAACAAGAACTGAACTTAAACTTAAGGATATTATCTCCGAGTAAAAAGAAATATATTAAAAGTTTAAATATTTGTAATAATTTTTTATCAGACTGAAACTCCGAAGATCATTTATCACTGCTTGAGAAGGGTTGCCTGTTGATTGGCAGCGGGCAATGCAAATCTTGAATTTATATAATTAATCATATTAATATAATCGGATTAAGCGACGATCGCCAATTTAATATGCGCTTAAACCGCAGCTGACACTATCAATTGATGTCAACTTATGTATGTCTCAGTTAGAGTTTAATTTCAACCTCTACTCACAAAAGAAGCAGAGTATGAAAGCTTCGACTCTTACGTGGAGTGTAAGCTTTACTTTCTTGTTGTTGTTGTTGCTGCTGGAGTTTTTGCTGTTCTGTTTTGTATTTGCTCTGGTTTCAGCGACGGCTCAGCTTACTTGGCAGCCATGAACGCCGCTGCTACTCAACTCAACTAGTTCACGCTTTACGCTTTAATAGAGTTCCATGGCTCATTTTCGGTACTTTCGGATAATGCGACCACAGCATACGACACGCACACATTCGCAAACTCACATGCACACACATACATACAATTATTCGATCATTGCTCGCTTATTGAGCGATATATTTATTTGCTTCCACCTTTTACGCATGTCGCTTTGCGCTTTTAACCTTGATTTTTGTGTAAACAAAATACACATACAGCTGTGCAGCATATTCTCATTTGAATGTATGTATGAATGCTGCTGCTGCTACTAAGCAAAAACAAAAATAAAAAAACTAAAAGCTTTCGGCTTTGTGTGCGTTTTTCATATGTGTATCTCTCTCTCTCCCTCTCTCTCTGGGTACGTTTGTCTGCTTGTGTGCGTTTATTTAATTTCTCGTTTACTGTACATTTATTAAGTTACCTATTTATAATTTGTTTATTATTTAGCGAAATGGCAGTGAATAATGTTTAAATATAGTTGGCCACCAGCAACCAATTCAAACCGAATGGAATGGAACGGAACTGGAAACCTTAGCTCCATAATATAAACAACATATTTCTTTTGGCTTAGCTTTTTTATTTGTTTTTGTTAATACACACATATACAAACACACCTACATGCACACACACTGACTATGTGACGTTATGCGCTGCGCTATGCTCATTTAATTTTCTGTGATATTATTAGATATGCGCTATCTTATCTAAATAGCATACAGTTATGTGTATGCATGTGTGTATGCGTGTGAGCGTGTTTGTATATCTGCCTAACTATCCAAGGCCCCGCGCTTTAGAGAATCTACAGAAAAAGAGCCAATGTTGGCTTATATAATCGGCTATAATATGTACATAGAGAGCACAGCGTTTATAAGGTGCGGGAGCCCTTCACTTTGCTAACTGTGCGGAGACTGCCATGATTTAGACGCAAAATGCCATCGCACTTATACTTATATAGATTATGTGCACAATCTGTGGAATGCGCTGGGGGAGCGGGAGAGGGCGAGGTAACGGAACGCTCTACACACCTGCCACGTAAATTTTGTAAGCTCTCCCAATATTCAGAGCATAAATATCGTTTCTTTTGTATGTTCGCTGCTTCGCTGCGCCCGACGACTTCACATGCTGCGGCTCACGGCTTTTGTGGCTCTGTGCAGTTTATTCACTTTGCACCTCACTCTGTATTACACCTTCTACTATATTTTTATTACTTTTTTCGTGCGCGTTTATTTTACGGTCTCGCGTCACTCTGCTTTCTATATATTTTTGTAGTTGTTTGATTACATCTAGTTACTTTTCTTTATATTTTGTTTGCTGTTGATCTTAGAGCATCGCTCTTCTGTCTCACATCACATCACAACGCACACTGACACCGGCTGGTCCAAAATTCTTGTGCTCGTGCCCCTTTTGGCTATCACTCGCTCACTAAACCATCTAAGTTTGCGACATACAATTTTAAGCTTGTTGCTCGAAGTTCGACGTTCGATTTCGTTGTTCGACGCTCGACGCTCGACGTGATGATCGTGTGGCGGCAGCGCACAGTGGTTGCGTATCAAGCACTGAGCACACAAAAATTGTAGCTAAGCTTTTTGCATAGGTCAACGGCAGCTAGGTGCTTGTTGCGTAGCGCAGAGTTGAGTATATAAAAAGATAGCTTAGTCAAATGTCAGCTGATCGCCCACTGTGAGCCGGTTTTGCGCTGCGCTCTCATCAACTCAACCACACTCCCCCACTCTTTCGCTCCCATTATAAGTGGTCAGTGCCGGCTAACCGGCTAGCCGGCAACCTGTGCCCTCTCTCACACTCGCGCTCGTGCTTGCGCTCACTCTCTCACTCTCTGTTTGTTCTTCGTTACGCTCTTCAGCAGAAAGCTCGCGTGAGCTTTGGATAAACAAAACATTGCATGCATAATTAAGTGTGTACGTATGTATGAACATATATATGTATTTGTGTATTTGTGTAGGCAATTCTTTTTGGCAAACTCTTAACATGCGTCGCAAACAATTTTCGAGCACGCCATAAATTTTCACACACAACACTCAAAAATGGTGCCGCTAAGGAATTTTTGGTGTGCGTTGAGTGCATCACACGCACTCGTCACGTGCATTCATTTCATTTCATTTCATTTCATTTCCATTCGTATTCGAATTCCACGACCGATCGATCAATTACACTCATATACACATGCATATTAAAAGATCGTTGCCTTCATTCCGATTTCCAGGCCAAGGCGTGTGTGAAATGCAAATGCAAATGCATATCATGACAACACCCTCGCCCTGCCGGATTAATGCACAAATGTGCGCCGAAGAAATACAATCGAATATGCATATTTTAATGTTTTCCTTGGCATTTGCCACAAGTGCCTGCAGAGCGTTCGCTCAGGTGACTAATTGAGCAGATCAAATCAGCCACAATGACTAATCGCTAGGTGTTGTCATTGCGCAAAAATAAAGTTAGCTACAAATCTGATATTACAATATGAAGACGCACTCGACTACGTGGCCATGACTATAGCTTGATTAAGATAAATGATACGTGCGTTCGGCTAGTTATAGAAATTAATATTGTTTTAATAATATGAACAGGTGTGTAAAAGATAGTTTCAAGAAATTATAAAAAACAACAGCAGTATAAGAGTTATAGAACAGCTGTCAAGTAAATTCAGCAGATGATAATTCGAGATAAAGGAAGCTGCTTAAAATATCCCAAGAATCAGTTGAAATAGTGCCCTATTCGAATTCGAAATCTCTATAACAGTTTGTTGGCCTGCTTAAGACTTGATTGATAAGCTAAACTTATTCATAATTAATAACTAATGTGCCAGCCAATAGTTCTTTGAGCAATAATCATAATAATAATAATGATAATATTAATGATTGAGCTATTGAGGGCATTAGCTATGGTAAATGTCTGACGATTTTGTCAAGTTTCGTTATGGCCATTGCTGAGTTGTTATGATCTGATAATGGCGCGCAGTTGTAGCTAAGTCTTGGTGTGGCTGTCCCCTAGTTCGGCTACAATTGCCATTATATCCATAGTTTATTTCATTGTGCATTTGGCTTAACAATTTTCATGGTCAGTTGCCTCCGGTGCGACATAAACTGCCACAGATAACAGCAAAAAGGCAGCCAAATCCGTATAATGAAATAAAAAGACATAGCCAAATAAAGCGACGACAAGACGTCAGGCGACAGGGCGACAGGGCGACAGGACGACAGGGCGACAGGACAACAAGAGCAACACAGGCAAAGCCAAAATGAATAGCAGCAACAAAAACAACATCGATTTCACTTTAACGAGCTTGTAATGTCCCTAAGACGAGAGTAGTATATAAAAAGCGTTATGTATACGCCATGTGTGCTCTGCTCTACTGCTGGGCGTATCACAGTGTCTTAGTCTCTGCCACTCTGTGTGTGTGTGTGTGTGTGAATGAAAAGTTTTCTGAGCTGCTGTCACATCCTAATAGGATAATAACGAGCCAAGGCAAGCGAAAGTTGTTGCGCCTGCAACTTCCAAATAAAATATGTAGCCAAACAATAAACGATGATAAGGGGCCAAAGAACGTGTCGTTCGCTCAGCCTTTTCCAAAAAAAAAGAACAAAAAAATGAAACGAAATAAAGAAGCGAAAACACCAAAGACCAACGCCCCAATCTCATCCTTGCAGTCATTATATGCCAGTTCACTTAGATGCCGCCGAATTGGTTGCCCGTCCGAAAGGACAACGCCCGCTAGAAAAACTGATAAGCAAACGACTTGCGGCAAAGTGCGCGTATAATGCCCAGCATCTACCCATACCGAAAGGAAGAACCCGAATTAGTATTGCAGCTGGGCCTAGGCGACTGCACAATACGCGCTAACGGTGCGGCCAAAGCTTGGCTAAGCAGCAATTAACTGGGCTAACTGCTTGATTAGGCTTTGGTCAGCTTCTCTTGCAGCTGTTTAGGTGCATATAAATAACTAAGTTTTCAATAATTTTGGGTGCTTATATACCTGCCTTACCTTATGAGCGAGCATGAGAAAAAGTCCCTGAAGTGAATGCGCTGCGATGCGGCTTTTCCAGTTGCCCATATGGTGTGTTGGGCAGGGTTGGTTGTTGTTGTTGTTATTGTTGATGTTGCCGTAGTTGGAAGCCGGATAGGCGTTGCTTGTAGCTGCCAAATGGTAATTTATGGGCGGTACGCAGCCAAACGGTTAGGCGGCTTTAAAGCAGCTCCCTAAATCGTAGTTCGCTGGGCGCCCGACCGTTGCTGCATACCAATGCCAAATTGAATTTGGCCAGGGATAAAGCAGCGCTGCGAATGTCTCTTTAGTGGCCCAAATCCTATTTGTACATCATCTCAAAGGTGGCTTTAAAGGATAAACTGCAAAGTGGGAATTGACTGCGGCGCCAAGACCTCTTTGTGTCTAAATGCCCCGCTGGAACTAAATTTAACTATATGATGCATGGCCAATTGTAAAGTGTTGACTTGTGGATAGACAGGCTGAGAGTAAGCTGTAATTTTCAGGGTACTTTATAGGAGTGAACTGCAAACTGGAATTTGAATTGGAAAGTGAGTGGACTTTGTTTTAACTGAAATACCTTTCAGGACATCGGACATCAGATGGAACATATCTAGTTATCTATGGCGAACTGCTGACAGGTCTTTGGCTCGGAAGCAGTTATCTAGACAACTATCTAGAGAGTTTGTCTAGAGAGTTCTATAGAGTTCAACTAGAAAACATGTGTGTAGGGTAAACAGTTTTAGTTTGGCCTGCAGCACTGAAGGAAATCTATGATTAGCAGAAATACTTACTTCTATTCGAGTTCTCTTTGATAACAGGTCTTGCTCATAGGACTTTGGTTAATCGAAATACGCTTCTAATTGAAGACTTAAGTTGATATAGTAAAGTACTTGCAGCTGTCTATAGGAAACAGCTGATTGTCCTTAGGGCAAGCTAAACTCGCTCAACTTCATTTCAAATATTTTTCCTAACAAATTATGACTCAACTGCTCTAAGAAAAAGAGCTCAAGTTTTCACTCAGCCTTAAAGAAAGTGTTTGAATTCGCAGATAAATCTCTAGATTACACAAATGTAATCTTCTATTCTAGTTAACTGTAATGAGCGCATTTTATCGATGCCTTTCTTCGACTGCTGCTGCTTCGTTTTTATTAAGAAACCCAACAGATTTGCTAGTGATTACTGGTTTTCTGTTCATACACCCACATAGTTGTATAGGCAAGAGGAAGAGAGTGAGAGATGGAAGGCGAAAATCATCTCGACAGCTGAACAAACAAGTCATAATTTGACGAGGAAATCGCTGCCATCGCTGCGCATCCTGCTTCCTGCTTCCTGCTACCGCAATTTTCCTGTGTACATGGTCCCTTTTTTGCCGTCATTTAGCCGTTAGGAAAACCCCTAAACGTTCATTGTTCAAAAATCCAAAAAGGAGTTATTTCTCTAGCCCTCACGCACACACACACACACACTTACATATATTTCATGTGGCACTCACATCTTCATTTCCCTATCCTGTTCATCAGCTAGCAAAATGTCGCTCATTTATTTTGATTACCTTTTGCAGAGCGGGGAAAATGCCAACAGATTTTCCTCTCCTTCTCGATGCGTTTTTCATTTCTTCATTACGTTTTATTTTCAGCAGCATATACTTTTAATATACCCTGTCCATTTGTAGTTTATCTGGACGAGTCCGAGGGGGGCAGCTTTTGCCTTCTACTTGGCTCAGTTGTTTGGCTGCTGCTGCTGCTTCCGTTTTGGCCAACTTGAATTTTAGTTAAGAGCTGAATCATGGCCATCAGCGTTGATGAGCTTTATTCCCCGGTGACACTTTTCGCTTCGTACAAATTTAGTGTGGCAAATTTTACACACACACTGGGGCAGAGACAGGGAGGGAGAGGGACAGGGACAGAGCCACAATGGGCAATGGGCAATAATAAAGTTGCTAGAGTTGAGCGAGGATCCTTGTTGCCTGATGTCGTCCTGTCTGGGGGTCCTTGTTTCCGCTTCGTCTTGACTTTTGTTTGCCATTCTTGCCAAACGAAATTCCATTATGAATCCTTGCTCATTGTTTTGTGCAATGTCGGTTTGTGGGTTTATCAAGGGCATGCCCAGCCGTTCTACCGTTCTGGGGCTAGCCAAGTCGCCTGCCACGCTGCCACGGCATGGCCCCCTCCCGTTCGTATACACAAAATTAATATTACAATTTTTGCGCTGTCGGTCCCGGTCCCGGTCCCGGTCCCGGACCCATTACCGGGGCCTGTCATAAGAGGCGAAATTATTTCAGAAAGCATATTTCAAAATGAAATTTTCTTGCGGCTTTTTGCTAAAACAAATGTTTGGTCTGGTCGGCCGTGCCTCGGCTCGAGTTGGCCTGTTTTATAATGAAATAAATTTCATTTGCTCATTGAGTCGACAAGCCTGCTTGGCCGACATGTGTGGCCAGGCATGAAGACGTTGTGGAATTTGCATGCATGTTGCTTGTCCCAACCAGCAGCAGCAGCACCGAAAGTGGGACGCATTAGGACGGACTTTAAGTTTGTGGCCAGGCCGTGTGCTCAGCGTCGCATTCAAGGTATTACGTTATGGCCAAAATGAAATATGACAAGGCTGACAAAAGGACGGCATCTATTGCCCACACACATGTCGCCTGTTCCAGCAGCAATGAAACGTGCAGCAGCAGCAAAACCACCAGTGGTGGCAGCAACACCCAATAGCAAATATTTTGTCTCATGTTGCGCACTATCGCTGGCTATAACAAAAACAAGAACATCCTCCCTACGCCCTACCGTGCTCAGCTATCGCAGCTGTCCGACTGACTGTGCATTAAATGCCACTCTGGCAGCCAGTTCGCTTTAGCTTCACTCATTTCCAGGACGATGGCTATGTGGATGACGAGTGCGCGCACGAGGACGGGGACGAGGACGCGGACGAGGACGACTATGACGATGATGTTCCGAGTCCGTCGAGCAATGTTCCCTTCGCTCCTTTCGCATAAAGCCAAGCCAAATGCTGAAGCAGCAGGCACTGCATATTTTCCAGCTTGTGTCGTCGTTGCGTCAGCGTCATCATTATACCCTGTAGCCCTAAAGGGGCTACTAAGGGGCAGTATAATAAATGAAACTTATGAAATATGCTTGAGGCATGCATTTGCTATAAACTAAATTTCTGCAACTGAAGAAACGAGGCACATGTGAAATATGCTTTAGCAATATATGTGGAAAGGAGTTACTGAAGGCGCGCTCTGGGCAGGTCTGAAATATATGAAATGTGTGGAACAACTTGATTTTCCATAGGTCCAAAGCTGTCTTTGATATAGGCTAGAAATAATTTTTGAAATGGAATAAGGTAAGTTCTGGAAGCTGTGTAGAACAGACAGACTGTGGTGAGAAGTGAGAGACTCATATAAGGAAAACCTTAGAGTATAAGACTAGCTAATCAGGGCTTTAAGCACGCAACTAAATAACCTTGAAGAAGTCCCCTCTTAACGTTGCATATGCCAATAAATAGCCAAATTGATTGCAGTTGAGCTGCAGCTGCAACGTTGCTCACTTTGGCAGGCGCTTGGAAATTTGTGTAGCCCGAAGATTTCATTTCATATGCCTGAACAAAAGATTTGCTAAGTAGTTTGCGGCATGTCAGTGGGAAATTGGTTTGCTTTCACTTAGAAATGAGCTTGGAAAATTTCTGGTCGGCAGCTATTGAAGCATATTTTGCGTCGCTTTGAAAGCAATCAAAGCGTATCTGAGCGGCAGTCACACTCGAGTGGAGTCTGCCAGCTTGTCTTAAAGATAAACAAGTCGACATTTTGACAACCTAAATACGTGCTGGCAGCAGGATGCGGCTAATGTGGCACTGGATATGGCTGAGGCTGTGCATCTGGCTGCTCTGCCATGGAGAACTTCATCAGCTTTCCGCAAATAATTGAAATCAACTTTCAACTTTAAGTTTGGTTTTGCCTGCAATTTATATGTAAATTTGATTAAGAAAACACTGCAAGGCAGTTGGTTTTCCTTGATCCCAAAGCCCACTCCCCCGCCCTTGTCGTAAGTAATTGAAAGAAAAAATATGCATTTGACCAGCGTCGTCCTTTCGCTTAACTAATGTAATTTAAAATGGACGAGTGGCAAATTACTTGCCCTTAAAAACGCGCTGGCCCGCATATCCCAACACTAAATCCCCGCCCGCCCCTTAGCCACGCCCAGCCACTGGCATTGCGTAAATTGCCCAGCGCAAATCCCTTGAAAACAAAAATTGTTAAAATAAATTGTGTGGGCACTCGCAAATTGGTTTGGCTTTCTGCTTGGCTTCATTTGTAATTCAAATGTTTTTCGCGAATGTTTGTTAAATGCGAACAACGCGATCTGGCAACGCCAGGGATCGTTGCCAGTGTTGTAATGTAAAAAAATTGTACCTCATTATTCACGGCGTAATTAATATTCATAGAAATGCGCTAGCTGCTGCCTTTCTATGCGATTCGCAGCGACTTTGTGCAAAGTGGAGCAACAGAAGAAGTGAAAAATGTGAGGAATTTGTGGGTGAAAGGGGGAGAGGTAGGTAAAGAGAGAGAGAGAGAGACAGATGGTGAGAGAGAGAGAGAGAGAGAGAGAGAAGAGATAGAGATGGAGATACAGAATGCGAGAGAGAGAGAGGGAGAGAGAGAGAGAGATGGTGAGAGAGAGATGTTGAGAGAGAGAGAGAGAGAGAGAGAGAGAGAGAGAGAGAGAGAGAGAGAGAGGAGAGAGAGAGGAGGAGAGAGAGAGAGACAGATGGTGAGAGAGAGAGAGAGAGTGTGTGAGTGAGTGAGTGAGAGAGAGAGTGAGAGAGAGAGAGAGGGAGAGAGAGAGAGATCTCCATACAGAATGAGAGAGAGAAAGAAAGAGAGAGATAACCAGAGAGAGTTAGAGAGAGCGAAATAATGAGAAAAACAGTGAGAGACAGAGGACGAGAGTGATAAAGAGACGATGCATATAAAGCAGGAGAGCGAGACAGGGAGAAGAGAGGAAGAGAGCGAGAGAGAGAAATATACTGTGAGATATAGAAAGCGACAGGAGGACAGAGCAGGAGAGATCGTCAAAGAGATAAAGAAAGCGAAACAGAAAAGGAGTGAGAGACGGAGAGAGCGAGAGTGAGAGTGACAGTAAAAAAAGAAGGAAGATGGAGAGAGCTAGTAACACTACTTAACAAAGATAGGGAGACAGTGAAAGAGATGATACAGAGGTAATAAAAGAAAGAGAAGCAGAGATAAACACAAAAGAGAGAGTAGCGCTCAGCTAGCTTCGGCATAAGACACATCTAAGTACACGCAGCTCCACGAGTGTGCACCACACATTAGCAACGTTATATAGGATAATTATTTGCAAGGTGAGTCGAGGCCTGTTCAATGGATACAGATTAAGTTATTCAATTTCAGCAACAATACATAATTAAACAGAAAATGAATTATGTATGCCCTTTTGTAAAGAGATTTCTGTCAGGATTCACAATTCACGGTCTCGTCTAGACTTCAACACAAAATCCTCATTAGCGGAGCTGTCTCGCAGTCGACGCATTCATCCAATTAGCGGAAGATGCTCGAAAAATAAAACAATAAATGCCACAAAAAATAATTCAAGCTTAAAAGCATGCTGCTACCCATGCCTGCCAATGCTGAGCTGCTATTAAATGCTAAGGCGCCACTAGCAACAGAGCCAGGAGGCAGGGAAGAGAGCGGAGAGTCAGAAGCTCTGCTCTGTAATCAAGCCACTTAGGTTCTATAAAAAATAGATCATAATTCCGTAAGTTACACCCGCTGGCGATATGCAAAGAAATGTGTTTCTCTCTACTTATATATACTTATATATATACATATAAATATATATGTTTTTTTGGTGTTAACAGGAAAAAAATGGCTAATAAAACTGTCATCAAAAAGTTGTAAAGCAATGAAAGAGCAAGAAACGGGAATATAACAATTCAGAAATTGAGAAAGTGAAAAATCTGGAGGCAAAAAGTTTCTGCAAGAATGTTTTAATAAATAATCGTAAATTTATGCTACACACACACTCACACACACAGAGAGAGAAGAGAGCGAGATTTACATTTAAAAGAAAAGTTCATCCGGGTTGAATCTTGTTGCACATTGTTTTGCACTCTATCAATTTGTGCCCAAGCATTGGGCGATTGCACAGACCACATACATACGTACATACATACATACATACGTGTATGTATATGCGAATTTATTTATGGATTTTTATTTTGGCATTTTTCGTTGCTGCTCGGTTCTTTGTGATTGTTGTTAAAAAGTTTGCGCCACTCATAATTCCCGATTGCTCTTTTGTTCAATTGCAAGCGAGTGGCTAAGTGGGGCGTGTGGGAGGGGGGGGGGGGGGGGGCAGAAGCAGCAGCCCGTATCGGCAAGTTGTTTTACGCAACATTTGCTGTGGCCAAGAAGCCCCAGAAGACCAAAAGACCAAGAGCCAAGGAGCCAACGAGCAAAGCCCAATGCCAACTTCGACTCGAGATGACTCGAACGTCTGTTTTCCATTATATATACAGCTATATAGATATATATATATATATATATATTTATATCTTCTTGCTTCCTTTTTTTCGCTAATTGGAAAAGTTGCAAGTTGTGCGAGCTGCGTTATGTGGGTAAGCCACATAACCGCTCAGATGTTTTCAAGTCCTGAATATCCTAGTGACTGGACGTCCGTGCGGCTTTTATGGCATTCGGAATGCTTATTAGCAGCTGACACGGCGTCAAAGTTTATAAAGCATCAGATTTTACACTCGTAATTGCCCATTAGCTTACACTGGCCTACAAAATAGCTAAGTCTATGCGTGTGAGTGTGTGCGTGGGATGTCTTCTGATGCGCCTTAAGCTGCGTCTTCCTGCGCTTTATGCCATTGTAATTACAATAACTGAATGACTTATATTTTGAGGCGAAATGCTTGGCAGCATATCCGTCTGCTGCGTCTGATAATTTTGCCTTCCAGGCTTGCCTCACTCCCGTTGATTGTGTTGCTGTTTAGGGCGCCGGCGCACAGAGCGCGCCTCGCATAGGGGGAAATTTGTCGCTGGCCAAAAAATGTCCTGGCGACAGCCGAAGCAGCAACTGGCAAAAGGTGTTCAGTTGGGCTAGTCAGTCGACTGCCACAAATGGCCGCGTGCGGCAGACAAAAGCGCATGAAAAATTCATGAGCCAAAAGTGCGTCATCATTACCAACGCCGAACATCATTATCATCATCAACAGCGTCGCACGTCGTCAGAATCGAACTTTGAGCGGCCAATGAACGGCTTTCAAATACCCAAAACATAGAGCTAGTCGCTCAGGTGGGTGTGTGTGTGTGGTGACTTGACTTTCAGCTTGTATAGTTCTTGGTTTAAAAAACTAAAATTGGAAAATGTGAAAATGCAAACACACACATAGAAACACAAACACAAACACACTTCGAAATTGAATGGCAAATCGAAAAGTGCTTGACAAACGAGTGGATAAAAAAAGAAGAGGAAAAGAAAAACACACGAACAACAAGCAGAACAACAATAAATGGGACAACATTTCAACTGTGTGTGTGTGTGTGTGTGTGCGGTCAAAGGCAATACAAATACACAAGTGCTTTTGCCACTCTAAACACAAATAAATATGTATATATGGAGTATATATGCTTAGTATATAAACCAAGAGCAAATGTTGACTATTTGGCCATTCGATTCGGCGCAAGTAAACCGCATTAAGTCCGCCGACTAACGTCGATTCCCACTCGAGTATCATTCAATTGTTAAATACAAATTAAGTTTTCATTTTCTATTGCATACTTTGCGGCGCTGCCAGAAATTAAATTGTATGAAAATGCGTGCTGGCTATTATGGCGGCTGCTGCTGCCGCCGCTGCCGCTCGGATAAGCTGTCTAGCACATAAATATTATTGAAACTTTAAATTTTGTTTTGTTTGTAAATAAAAGTTGAGCTGCCTCAATGCTGAGTTAATTTTGCACAACAAAAAGTTTTTATTTCTGTTTAAGCCAAGAATTTATGTGTGTGTGTGCGTGTGTGCCACAACAATGCCACAATATTTCTCATATGTAAATTAAATGAAATTTCCGTAATTTATTCGCATGGAATTAATTGAATTCCACAAAAAATTGCATTCGCTGCTCGAATTTGCTGCACAATTTTTAATGACATTTTGCTTAATTGATATGAAAGATATATATATATTTTTTTGATATTAAAAATGATTGATAAATATAAATTTTCATATACATTTCAATTCAATTGAAAGCTACACAAAGTTTAGTTTATTTAGTTAGGAACCTATAGAAAAAGAGTATAATATAATAAAAAAATAGAAAGGAAAAAACATAATTTGAGAAGTTTTTATTGGCCAAAACTCTTTTAGCCAAATGCATTTTAAGGCGCATTGAGCCAATAAAGAAACTTTTTGATTGATTATTATGCCACACAGAACTTAAGAAGTAGCTAATGAAACAGCACTCAAGAGCTGTTTGGTAGAAGTTTGACAGTTCTTGCTCAATGCCTAAAGTAATATAGTTTAAAGTTAACACGACTGGATTCAGTACAGAATCAACAGTCAGATAAGGCTAATGAGCAGATTAAATGGACTTTATAGAGTACTGAATGCCACTTTCTGGGAATTAAACTCAGCTGCGATAGTCGCAAGGCAGCGCTTAACTGAGATATCGTTTGTTTTTCTTAAAGCTTCATAGTTTTGAGTTAGCCACGCTGCTTAATTTGTTAGCTCTTTTAACAGCTAATAGTTGCTTCTTATTCAGTTTTACTTGACATATAGTATATGCTTTAAGAGTAAAGCATATGCTAAAAATTCTCTTCCAATTTGACGCTATATTAGTACAGAGTAAACAGCGTTCTATTACAAGTGTATAAGACGACTGCCCGCCTTCAACTCTCCCACTCCTTCTATTTAAACAAGCTCAACTATGTCCAGCAACTCTAAGTAGAGCATAATTTTTGTTTACATCTTGGCCGTGCAAAACAAAATAAATAATAAAAGAAAATCTTGAGAAATTAGCTTAAGAATTTGCTTGTAAGACGAGCGCGCGCGCTCTTTAAAATGTTCCCGGAACAGTTTTAGTTTAAATATTCTGGGGGAGATTCGCGGAACAGCTTCAAACAGTAATGCGCACTTGCCAATGAAATAAATCAATGTTTATGTAAATAACTAATAGATTGCCAACTATAATTAAACACAATTAGTCAGGCGAAAGTGTTTGCCATTCGAGTGCCGCCCGAAAGTATGCAATGAAAAAGTGAAAGAGGCGAGCGAAAAGAATGGAGAGCCGAAAGAGTCACAGGCGAACAAAGTATGCTTAGCTGTAATGCGGTAAAATTAGGTGGAATGTCGCTGGCCGAAAAAGTCATGCGGCTGTTATATAAAAGCCCATTAAAGCCCCGGCCACTGGGCGTGGCATAGTTTATGGCATTTTAATCATTTAACAACGCTTTTGGTTTGCAGTCAACATGCAAATTGCTGGGCGAGCAACCGAACAAAACGAACAGAGCGAACAGAGCGAAGCGAAACCAGCGCCAGCAACACAATAAAAATTGCCTATAAATGGGCGGAAGAGCAGAATCGGATGGCAGAGGTGCTGTCGGAGGTGGTGCTGCGGCAGTGGGTGTTGGCAGGAGTTTAGTCGCACGCACAAGGACAACAACAACAACAAAAGCAACGACGAAACGAAGGACAGCAGACAGCGGCAGTGGCAGTGGCAGTGGCAGGGCACTCAAACAAAACAACAAAGCGAAACTTCCGCATAGGATGCGACGAAACGGAAGTTATTTTGGCCGTTTGAACGTACGGATCTATCTCATCTATTTGTGCTGCTATCTGCTGCTGATAATGGCAGCAGCTGGCAGCAACAATGTGGTAAATGGACTCAAATGCTACTGCAATCCGAAGGAATGCGACGTTATACGCGCACTCGACTGCCCCGGCAAGGGCCTAATGCTATGGGATCCCTGCCAGTAAGTTGAGTAGGCGCTTCATATATCATTCATTTAATGTGCATCGATATTCGCATTCGTATTCACAACGGCTCTCATTCTGCTCTCGCAACCACACAGATGCTGTCGCATTTGCGCCAAAACATTGGGCGAATCCTGCGGCGGACCCGGCGGCTTTTCCGGCCAATGCGAACCGCCCCTGCAGTGTGTCACCAAACTGCCCATTAGCAGCGGCCTGGGCGTCTGCATGGGTAAGCATCTATGGCATATTAACTCACAAATATATGAATATCTAATGCGCATGGGGTTAATGTGCAGGCCACTTTAGCTAATCGGTTATAGCAGTTGGCCAAGTATTCCATTTGACCAAATTGGATGGCCTGCGATGTGGGAGTTTGGGCTTATTCAACTCATATGAGACTTTGGCTTGAACATTAGTTAGCTTTAACAATTGTGATTTGCAGTGGGTTTAATTTGAATCAAATCAAATTTGAGCTTAGTAAGTGAGGCAAGGCAGGTGACTTTACCTGATTAGATTAAAGAACTGAGTTGATATGAATCTGATTTGTGAATACTTATTAAGTATAATCTCTATTACTAAAACACTCTTTTTGTGCTGACTGATCACGCCCTCAATTCACTAATGGGCGTGGCTGTATATGCAATATATATACTAAGATGAGGCGGGCATAGACGTGCCTGACAGTTGAGCTAAAATGTTAGCAGGCTAAAAGGAACATCTGCAAGTACCAAACTATAAGAATGCAGCTTCAGAATAAGCTTAAATGCATACAGTAGTTATCTATATGCCACGCCCCTAGTAGGCGTAAGCCAGCCAACTTAACACGGCATAGAATGTTAGCCAAGTTTCTAGCTACAACAGCGACAAAGTTCTTTGCATAGGGACCCAAAGGAAGGCAAACATTTGCCAAAGCCTATATACTCTTTTAGGCAACGTGACAGAGTATACAAATGTTCAATTTAATAATAATGTATAAATTTGCATGGGCAAATAAAACGCATCACATTTCAGCCAAGCGCTAAAACTTCTGTTCGAGGCAAATGCAAAATGCAAATGCAGTTTGCAGTGTGCGGAGGTTTAATTTAAATATATATATATATATATATATATATATATATATATATATATATATAAATATATATATATAGCATAAAATGCTGTTGAATTGAATGACTTTCAGCATTTATATTTTACATAATATATTTATATTTAATATTGGCTTTTGACGTGGTCAATAATTTGTTTGTGACAGACTTGCAACACCTGACGGCGCTTACCTTTAATCAGCTCAGCAACTGCACGCAGGAGGAGTCGATTGTGCTGGAGCCGGGCTGCGAGATAACCAACAAGCGCTGCCAATGCTGGCCCACAATGCGCACCTGTCTCAGCCAACTGTCCAGCGATGGCGGCTCTCCGAGCGATTCGCATTGGCATTTCAAGAATCTCGAGGTAAGCCAAACTATATACTAAATATACATATATATATATTGATTTTGCATACATACATATATATATATGCATTTATATTAATGACAAATATTATTCATTAATTGTGCACAGGACTGCCAATTAAATTTGCAAAATCTAATTAAAATCGAATTGGAATTCGATGAAGACTACAAAATCTCACCGAGCAAATTCGCATACAAAAAGCTGCGCAGAAAGCGAAAATCGCTGAGGAAGCGACTGTGGGCGACATGATTGCATAGCATAAATGAACAATTAATACTATTATTTAACCGTAATTATGATTGCTCAATTTCCATGTGCAGCATCATTTGAAGCATGGCGACAGTTCGCAAGCCATATAAACGTCCCTCTTTCTCACAAATGCAATTCTTGTACAGATACTAATGCTTAACTCTATGAAATGTGGCTAATATAAATACGATAATAAAGAGCATATACACATACAACATTACAAATAAATATATATATATATATAGATATATACACACAAATGCATGCTTGTAGGCATGTGGCATGTGGCTATTGTATGTAATCCCTAAAGCATTTGTTACTTTATTGTTTTTAACAAAACAATTTGTGCGCATACATAATGTATTATACATTGCAAATTTCTATTCCTAAACTAAAGACGAGAAAAAAAAACAAAAACCAAATACATAAATACCTAAACAATAAATTTAAAGCATTTTACCAGTGTTGTTGCTTTCAAGAAAATTCCGATTATGGAAAAGCATCGAAATATATATATATATACATACCGAAATGGCCAACAAAATGAAGTGTTTTTTTGGGGGGGGCGTGCTTTGGTGGTTTACAGAAAATCTTTAAAGTGATAGCTGCTGCCTAAACAGTTTACATTTAAAGCTCCCGCCATTATCAACCAGCCGTGCAATGTTACCCGGTTCGTTACCCGTTTCGTCCCCCGTTTGACTGTTGACATTCAAAACGATTCTTCACAGAATTACATATTAAGAAATACATGACTCACTATGCAAAACGGGCATTGCTTGGGCAAAAAGCTAACGCTGCGAGATTGTGTACCTTGGCTTGAGCAAAGCTTTATTGAGTTACAACTGAGAGTAATCGCAGCCAACTGTGATGTTCCATGATGTCAAAAGGACACAAGTTCAACACAGCGTCTGCTTTTATAGACCAAAATGATCTCATTAAAATTAATGTAAGTTATTTGGTAGTCGACATTTTAATATATTCATAGTATTTCTGAATATAGTGCAAAAGCTTTTATTATTGCTTAATGCATCATTAGGCTTTGCTAGCTTGCTTAAACAACATTTTAATGGTAAATTTGTTTTACTTTGTAATTCAAAATTAATTACATCAACTGTAACAATTCGCTGAATATTGTACTGTAGAAAAAAAGAAATTATTTTTATTAAAAATAGTTTAGTACAATTTAAATCACGCGCCATATCAAATATCCCTTCGTTCTGTTGTCAAGCTGACTGCCATGACACCACTTACCTATTTGAGTATATTTGCAGCAATGGGGAAAATGTTAATGTGCTGCACAGGTTAATTCGCCGCAGCGTTTATTGAATGCATTTTTATTGAAATACAGTTTCAGGCTAAATTAAAATACAAATTTGTTCAGCCCAGCTCTTTTCAATAGATTGTACTGGCAATAAAAAATATATGTGCGATAGTATGATCTCCTATCATTATTTTCAGTGTAAGGCGAAAGGTCAGTTCGGGCACAGCCGGCGGAAATTCGTCCGCTTCGACCGAATAGTTGCGAATCTCATAGAGTTTGTTCTGTTGTTGTTGCAAATTGAAATATTAAAATAGATTGAGGAGTATGATCCAGAGTACTTACGCCGGGTATTGGACACTTTCTTGGCAAATTGCTGACCTGTTGAATACGCTTGAAGAACTTGCCATAAATATTATTGCCATACAGGGAGCTGAGGTATTTGCAGCCATCGAGTTTGCTGTTGCCCATTTTTATGACGCTTTCGTCAGATTTTATGATGTCCAGGTTAAAATGTATATTAAACTCCTTCTCTGTTTTGGCGAGCATGAAGCGAACAGCGATTACGGGATCAGGGCGACTCTTATGAATAACGCAGGTCAATTCCTTGCCATAAGAGGGGTCCACTAATATACAGGTGAAATTGTGAAGGTCAACGATAAAGTTGCGCTGTGGAATTATAAAGATATAGAATCTAGTGAGGTAATACTGAGAGAGGAGCTTACCTTAGCCTGAGCTAAGCTCAACAGAGTCATAAATGCGAGAGGGTACAGCCAAGAGCGATGATCCATGGTGTCGAAAGTACAGTTGAATTAAACACAGCGTCGCAGCTGCTTTTATAGACTAAAATAAACTCATTAAGCTAAATTATAATGTAGTCGATATTTTAATGTATACTGAATATATATAGAGAACGAGTGTATTATTATAAATGGTTTTATTAGTGTTTAATGCATCATTAAGTTTTATTTAAAAAAACTATTTTAATGTTAAATTTACTTTAAATTAAAAATTTTAAGACGTTAAATTAGTTGTGCTTCAAAGCTGATTGCTATATTACGCTTTAACCGCTTACCATTTAGTCCTTTCACACTTCTGATGTAAAGGTTGTCTCAATTCGCTACATGTTATATATGTTATTTCGTGAATAATTAAAAGGTAATTTATTTATTGTAATATAAATTTTATTATTACAAAAGCTGCTGCTGCTCAACAGTAATCATTTTAATAAGAAATAGCTTAGTGCAATCTAAATTACGCGCCATATCAAATATCCCTTCGTTATGCTGTCAAGCTGACTGCCATGAGACTATTTACCTATTTGAGTATATTTACAGCAATGGAGAAACTGTTAACGTGCTGCACAGGTTAATTCGCCGCAGTGTTTATTGAATGCATTTTTATTGAAATAGAGGTTCAGGCTAAATTCAAATAAAAATTTGTTAAGCGAAGCTCATTTCAATATATTGTACTGGCAATAAAGAAGATTATTGCCACGACATGGTCTCCTCTCATTATTTTCAGTGTAAGGCGAAAGGTGAGTTCGGGCACAGCCGGTGGATATTCGTCCACATCGATCGAATAGTTGCGAATCTCATAGAGTTTATTCTGTGTTGTTGCAAATTAGAATATTAAAATAGACTGAGGAGTAAGAATCAGAGTACTTACGCCGGGTATTGGGCACTTTCTTGGCAAATTGCTGACCTTTTGAATCCGCCTGAAGAACTTGCCATAAATATTATTGCCATACAGGGAGCTGAGGTATTTGCAGCCATCGAGTTTGCTGTTGCCCATTTTTATGACGCTTTCGTCAGATTTTACAATGTCCAGGATAAAATGTATATTAAATTCCTTCTCTGTTTTGGCGAGCATGAAGCGAGCGGAGATGACGGGATTAGGGCGACTCTTATGAATAATACAGGTCAATTCCTTGCCAAAAGAGGGGTCCACTATTATACAGGTGAAATTGTGAAGATCAACGATAAAGTTTCGCTGTGGAATTATAAAGATATAGAATCAAGTGAGGGTAGACTCGCAGAGGTACACACCTTAGCCTGAGCAAAGCTCAATAGAGTCACAAATGCGAGCGGATGCAGCCAAACGCGATAGTCCATGTTGCTAAAGGTAAACTTCAATCAAGCAAAGCTTCATGGATGCTTTTATAGACCAAATTTGTAATAAAATCATTTCATTGAGCTAAATTATAATGCCATCAAAAGTGAACTGAAAAGGTAAATGCATATTTAATATATACGAGTTAATTAGTTCAACGGGTTTTATTAACTGCTTGAATTGCTAAACGCTTCATTAGTTTTTCAAAAGTCGGAATTCGTTAAATTGCTTATGGTACAGAGCTAATTGCTAAGGCACGTGACAACCGTTTCACATTCAGTTCTTTAACCGGTTACTGTTTTACAGCATTGATGTTAACGCTGTAACAGTTCGCTGCACCACAGCCTCAATTGCGGGAATTTAAAAAGAAATTCAAAATGCAATGTTAGGAGGCCTGCTAGGTGGGCCAATTATTTCTTTATAAATTGATAAAAACTTAAACAGAAGTCTCCCTCTCCTCCTCCCTCTCTCTCCCTCTCGTATAACAGAGCAAAAGAGCTCACTTTTGAGTACTTTTGATTGCACTACATAACAAGATAAAGAGGCAATGCTTATAGTTCAGCATATAGATATGTATATATATTTATATACATATGTTTGAGCACACGCTCATTTCAATACATGGCAGAAGCAACAAGGAGAGCATCGCCAATTGTTTGCTTCAGCCGAAAGAACTTAATTTTGACGTGGTATGTTAAAGAAGGCAAAGCCATGGGGATTCTTTCCAGCGTAATTGTGTAGTTGCGTACCTCGTAGACTTTGTTCTGTACAAAATGTATATGATAATAAGATGAATGAGATTAGTTTCTCATCACTTACTGCTTGAAATGGACATCCTCTGGGCAAATTGCTAACCTTGAGCACCGTCTCAAAGATTCCGCCTTGAAATTTGTGCTTGCATGCTGAGGTCAAGTACTGGCAGCCATCGATTTTAGTATGCTGTATGTTCATCTTTGAGTTATCCTTTTTGATAATGTCAAAGTCGACCATCAGACTAAACTGCTCAAGTGCTTGGCTGAGACTGAAGCGCGCGCTCATCGTGGCTGCGCCACGTTTCTTGCTGCTGCTGCAGCTTAAGTCGGTAAACAACGAAGGCTCCGTTGGCCAACAGGTAAAATTTTTGATTTGAATTGTAAAAGGACGTTGCTGAAAAACAAATTGTTTTAGTTTTAGCTGATGAAGCTGACGTACGAGTCTTACCTTAGCCTGGCTGGCAGCCAGCAGAGCGATCACAACCAGTTGCCAGAGCCAGGTTTGGTTATTCATGATTCTCTTTGCAGAAGTCAATGCGAATTTCCCGTTTTATACTAAAATTTTAATGAACTTTTAATTTGTTTTGCTTGAAAAGATACACTCGAAAGCCAATGGATTAATTTGTTGCGCATTTTTGAACTTTTATTTTATTTATAGATTCATAATTTTTATTTATAATATGAATTTGTTATTTGAATTTTGAGCTCGTTCTCTGGAATTGGCAATTAGTAAATTGTTTTAATATCTATAGATAATGTCGTTTGTCCGACTCTCTTCTCTTTAGCTAACTAGTTGGGATGATAAAGTTATTTATTGTAATGCTTGAGTTGTGTTGTGAACATTAAATTATATACATATATATATATATATTTGTTATCTATTATAAAGTCGAGGCAAACGTCGTTACAGGTTGCTTAGCTAGAAGTCATCAAAGCGATCGTTGAGAGTTGCCACAGGCCAATGCGCTTATTCATGTGAGGGAGCTTTAAGTATGAATATTTAGTAAAATGAACTATATAAGTATTTATCTACTATTAATTAATTAAATTAATAAGAACTAGCAAAACCATATGTGGCTTTTGGCTCTGCCTGAATTCGCAGCACCACAACCTCAATTAATTCAGTGCTTACTTTTGTAATATTTTATTGCATACTTTTAGGCAGTTAGATTTAAAGCATGTGAAACGTCACTCAATGGGCATTTAATCTCGAATATTGAATATAGAAATTCTATGATCACATACATTTCCAAATGCTACTCAATTGTGTTTAGTTTTCACTTCTAAGCAACTTCCACGTATTCGGGCTTCGAGAAGTAGTGCTTAGGGCTCCATGAGTTGGTATTCTGAGCCAAGTTGGAAGTCAAGTGGGGTCAGCTGCTGGTAAGATCTGAGATATACTTTGGCGCTTAAGTGTTTTGAAGTGGTGCCGGTATTGAAATCGTTTGTTTCGCTTATTGAGTTGTTATACTTTGGGCTGTTGCGCTTGGAGTGCGTTACAAATGATGTTGCGCGCACCTTAGTGGAGCAGACAAAAGCAATTAGATGCCGTCTTTTGACAAGCTGAATGAAATAGTTTGCGCTCGAGCTGGAGATCGAGATTGAGATTGAGATGAAGGATTGAGGATTGAGGAATGCCAAAGAAGCAGGCGTTTATCAACTGGCCACATCGGACAGGTCGATGTCTATGTCGATGTCGATGTGGATGTGGATGTCTAACTGCCAATGAGCCAGCGGGGACTACTGTGGCCGAGCGCCGTACAATACAGAGGAACTCGAGTGGGGATGGCAATACAAAGAGGTGTTAAAAAATTCTACTTTTTATGCTCTTAATATGATTTGATGGACATTTGCGATATAATGAAGAAATGTTTTTATGCCTCTGGCTTTGTATTCTTAAAAGTTTATTTTAATTTTAATTGTTTTTGTTGTTGTTGTTGTTGTTTATTCCCTATGGCCCGCCTCACGCCTATTGTTTCAGTTGTTTGACAAGCGATGCGTACAAATCAAAGCAGAGCCAGCAAACTGGACAGCCACGAATCTCTGGCTCGTTTGATTAATAGCCGCACAATTGATATGTTAAGTGGTAAATTACGCCATTGGCACGCAAATGTGTCGGCTCGTTCGGGATTGCTGTTTGTTTAAGGCGCCGCTAAGGGGACAGCCTACTGAACGATCTTGATCTTATCCGAGCCGGGCACAAAGTGATTTAATTTTGAATGGAGAAAGTTTAACAGCAGCCGCACAATTATTCAATTATATACAACAAGCCTGACTGTGGGTGGAACTCGATTTCATTGAGCTTTTCTTTGACCAATGAAAACTACATCAGCTATTGCTGGCGCTGCTGCTGCTGCTGCTGCTGCTGCTGCTGCTTAAATTAAAGGCCATTAGTCCAATTTTAACACGCTTTTGGGCAGCAGCAATAACAACCACGACAAACTACTTTAAATTTTATGGCCTCATTTATATTATTTGATCAAAAATCAAAATCAAGTTGAAATCCATTAAAATCTTTTGCATATTCCAGATACAATGGGCAATGTCATTAAAATTTTGCCACACCGTAAAAAGTAAAACAAAAACAATGCCCAAATCCGCTGATGTGTTATAAAAATCATTTAAATGTCGCGATCGCCAAAGAGTTTTATGGCAGCCTATGCGATCGATCTGCCCGCTGAATGCTCAACTAAAATGATTTAATTTCGAAACGTGTCGTGCACATTTGATGATCAATTTCTTGATAATATAAACGAGTATCGATTGCCATTGTATTGACTTTATATACAAATATATTTAGACATGATTTGGAAGTGAATTTAGAGATGACATTTATCGTTGGCTGACGTAAATAAATCGTGTTCTTGTTTGTTTCTAATTCAGCATTTAGTGTATTCGCTCAGCTTCACAATTTGTTTTGCAAATATTTATATTTATTAACTGTACTCTCAGCTTTTGCTCTGCATGTCAAAGAGGCTCCAGCTGATCGTTATCAGAGAAATAAGATTTAGTACTTCAATTCAAATTCAGCTTTGTCTAGCTGCCCTTATTTTCAATTCGTTTAATGAAATTCGCAGCGCAGCCCATAAATAAAACTGTGGCAAATTCCCTAAGCAACTTGTTGAAGTGTCATAAATAAAGCAAGAGCAGCAGAGCCAACGAGCCTGCGAGCACACAGCGCTTCAAGTGTTTGTCATTTAATAAACTACACACATCTGCAGCTCTCAGTGTGTGTGTGTGTGTGCTGTTGTTGTGCCTGCCGATTGCTGTTATATGATTTCATATATCATCAACATACGCTGAACGTCGTAGCATAGGGCTCTGCCAGCCCCGTTGTCTGTCTCTGCCTCCAGCTTCTACTCCTTCGTCTCGCTCCCTCTCTCTGTCGCTCTGCTGCGCGGGAACAACTTGTTGAGCATTGCGCAGGCGTGCGGCATTTAGTTCAGGCTGTCCGCGTGCGCCTCTTGTTGTATTTTTCGATAACATTTTATTGTCCGCTTTATAAATTATTGGCGTTTGCATCGCTGCCAGTGGCTCGGAGCTGAGGCGGCAGGCGGCAGGCGGCATTGGACCAAAAAAGTATCCTTTTACGTGCACATTTTTTGGTATGCAGCGTGTGTCCAAATTTGTGCAGCGCAAATAAATACTAAAGTATATATACTTAGAGAGCCGTTCAGTTCTGTTTTGTGGTTTGAGTTCCGTTTGGGCTCGGCTCTTGACGGCTCACAGCTCGACGGTGTGTTGGGTTGTGCGCGTGTTTTGGCCTTTTAGGGCTTGTCGCCCAACATCAAATTGAGTGTTGTTCTCATTGCTGTGGCTGTTGCTGTTGCTGTTGCTGTTGCTATTATTGCTGTTGTTGGTAGTGTGAAAGTTGCTTTAAATATTGAGCTGGGCACTGCGAGGAGCAGCAACGAGCTGCCAACAAATCAAACCATTTATGTCCAAACCTCGATCGCAGCTCGCCAACATTCACATTCATCATCGTCAAGTGGCAGCCAGCAGTGCCTCAACAAATTCAGTCCGAAGTGCTGAAGGTGCTCCCTGCACCTGTCTGAACTTCAGAGCTGTCCTTCAATTATATAGCACACCCGCTGTGCTCTACTGGAACTCGGAGTCTCCGGTCTCTCTGGCCCTCTTCTAACTGGAGTCCAGCACAATTGCGGCTCATACTCTGCTAGAACTTTGGAGCTGCAGTGGACTCTGTCTGGTATTTCAGTCATACCTAAGAAAGAGAGGAAAAACGCGAGCTCATATCTCATATGAAACTCATGGCGCATGATCAATCGAAATGATATAATTATATCCCAGAGCCAGAGAAACAGCCACAACCACAGCCAGAGCCAGCGCTTGGCCTCTGTGTAAATTGATATCAACAAATTACGCGAAAAAATTTCAAAAATATTAACGAATGTGAATGATATAATGATGAGATGACGATTGTGGAATACACTGAACAAAAACAAAAGGAGGAGAGTGAGAGAGGGAGAGAAATGCTGTCAAATTATAAATATATTTCCTGCAAATTAAATATGGGCTCAAATATAAAAAATAACAACAAAAATAAATTGTTTACAGAATAAAGATAATATAATATAATATATAATATAATATATAATATATATATAATAAAGATAATACAATTGTAATTCCTTAAGATCTGCTTATACCAAGCCACGTGCTGCCCCAACTTAATCAATATCCAACTCCTTTTCGACTGGAAAACTTTAGTCTTTAATTTCTTTCAGTGCAGTGTCTTCCCTAATTATGCCCAATTTAAAAAGGGTTAATTAAGGCACAAAACGCAGCACACGAAATGTCCCCATCCGGGGCGTTATTAATATGCGACATTTCTGATATCTTTTTGCCCCCGGGCATGGGCCAGACAAGAGAGTCCTTCTGTGGGATCAATGCTGCAAAATATATACAATAATTACATACAGCATTTGTCATAACACCAGATATGGACACAATGTTTGCTCTTGGCGCGAATGGCCAACAGATCGCGGCCCAGCGGCCGAACTATGCGACAAATGTACGCAAAAAATTGTAAATATCATCATCGACGACATCGTCGCATCATCAGCACCAGCAGCAACGGCAGCAGCAGCTGAAGATTGGGGGAGGAGGCGGCTGAGGATGCCAACGGACTAAAATGATGGGCATTTTATAAATAAAACAAAATCATAAATGATGCGCTTCGCCCAGAGGCAAGGACAGCCCTGAGATCGTTCGCTCGGCTTCGGCGGGGTTTTTTGGGGTGCTATAATAATTACAGCTGGAACGTTGGGGCCTTGGGGCCATTGGGTAGACATTTCGCGCCGGAATTCGGAGCATTGTGTCATATTTAATACAGAAATTTTAATTAAACATAATTTGTAAGGACTGCACGTTCGCCCGCTTCCCCACTCCGCTCCCTCCGCTCGCTCCAGTCGCTCTCATTGAGCTAGATGCTCGCATGTCTGCGACTGCTCCCCAGTTGTTTGCCTTTGATTGCTCTGCGTTGATAGCTTTGGC